CCCAGCTCCCCAGCTTCAGCTCAGTGCAATCCAGGCTATTTGGAGAGTGAATCAGTATCTGAAAGCTCTCTCTCTCTCTCTCTCTCTCTCTCTCTCTCTCTCATACATACATACATACATACATACATATTTTAAAGTATAGATGGGAAATTTTATAATGGATGCATCAGTCTAATAACATTTGAATGCAGTGCTCAATATTGAAGTCATAGTACAAGCGACAACCAGACATGGTGAGGCTCTTGGTGTGCTATAAACTTTAAAGCTTGCTTTCCCAGAGAACTCATATATCAAAACACTAATCCCCAGTGTGACAGTGTATGGAGACAGGGTCCTTTGAAGGTAATTAGGCCATGGAGGTGGAGTCCTGAGGATGGGATTTGTATCCTTAAAAGAAGACACAGGGGGCCGGCACCACAGCTCAATAGGCTAATCTTCCACCTGCGGTGCCGGCATACCGGGTTCTAGTCGGGGCACCGGATTCTGTCCTGGTCACTCCTCTTCCAGGCCAGCTCTCTGCTGTGGCCTGGGAGTGCAGTGGAGGATGGCCCAGGTCCTTGGGCCCTGCACCCGCATGGGAGACCAGGAGAAGCACCTGGCTCCTGCTTCCGATCAGCGCAGTGCGCCAGCTGCAGCGCGCCAGCTGCAGCAGCCATTGGGGGGTGAACCAATGGAAAAAGAAGACCTTTCTCTTTGTCTCTCTCTCACTGTCCACTCTGCCTGTCAAAAAAAAAAAAAAAAAGACACGGGGGGGCAACGCTGTGGCATAGTGGATAAAGCTGCCGCCTGCGGTGCTGGCATTCCATGTGGGCACAGGTTCAAGTCCCAGCTGCTCCGCCTCCAATCTGGCTCCCTGTTATGGCCTGGGAGAGCAGTGGAAGATGGTCCAAGTGCTTGGGCCCCTGCACCCACGTGGGAGATGTGGAAGAGGCTCCTGGCTCCTGGCTTCAGATCAGCACAGCTCCGGCCATTGTGGTCATGTTGGGAGTGAACCAGTTGATGGAAGACCTCTCTTTTCTCTCCCTGCCTCTGCCTCTCTATAGCTCTGCCTTTCAAATAAATAAATCAATCTCTTTTTTTGTTTAAAAAATAAAGGAAGACACACAAGACAGCCTACTTCCTTTCTGCATGCACACACCAAAAGGCCATATGAATATATACCTAGGGAGAAGATCATTACCAAGAACCCAACAATGCTGGAACCCCAACAGGACTTCCAGCATTCAGACCCATGAGAAATGTCTGTTGCTTAAGCCACCTAGTCTATGGCTATTCGTTACAATAGCGCAAACTAATAGATTGTGTAAGGCTATGGTAAGTATATAACACCAACCATACCTGAGGTACTCTTGCTAAAATTTTGAACTATATCAAGCCTCTCACTCTAATTACAAATTTATGGAATATAGCAAGGGCCAGAGCAACATAAATCCACAGCAGTGCTATTCAAACCTGAATAAGCACCACTGGAGAAACTATTAAAAATAGACACCTCTAAGCCCACCTCCCCTGTTTTGATTCAGCAGATCTAGAGTGGGCACAAGTATCTGCAGTACTTTAAAATATTTATTTATTTATTTAAAAGGCAGAGTTACAGGAGAGAGAGAGAGAGAATCTTCCAACTAGTTGTTCATTCCCAAGTGGCTGCCATAGCTGGAGTGGGGCCAGGCTGCAGGTAGGAGCGGGGAATTCCACCAAGCTCTCCCATACTGGCAGCTGGGACTCAAGTCCTTGAGCCATCATCTGCTGCCTCCCAGGCAGATTAGCAGGGGGCTGGTTTGGAAGTGGAGTAGCCAGGACTGCAACTGGCACTCAGATATAGACTGTGGGTGTCACAAGCAGCAGTTTAATCTGCTGCCATCACAAGGCCCGGCCGAATATCTGTAATTTTAATGAGTACTCCCTGACAATTCTGATGAAATGGTACATGAACCCTGCTTGGGACACTCTTGCCTAAACAGCTCATATCTGAGTACAAGGTACTGCCTAACATGCAGGGCACTGGCACATCTGGATGGTCTATGTTTATGCAATTACTCAAAGATGCACTGGTCCTTCCTTCCCACTTAAGACCACAGATTAATTTCCACATGGAACCACATAAAATATCCAGAGTATTCCTGGTGGTAAAGTAGATTTGTAATTGTTATCCTATTGAATGGAAAAGGCTGGTGGAAGGGAAGTGATTTACCTATTGTGTACCCATGTTGGGACCATGATCTCTTCACTTTTGATCCAATGATCTGTCTAGCAGACTCAGAATCTTACTTGGTTCTTGTCTATCTGCTCCTGGTTCTGGGGTACAGCATCCACTCCATTCTCTGATATGACAGTAGAAGGGAGAGTAAGGGAATAAGCACATGTCATAGAAAAGAAAAAAAGCAAATCAGAAAACACATGAAATGCAGAGGATAGGTGCATCATGGCTGGCCAATCTTCACTCAGCTAACTGGAAGCGTTACAATGATGCTTGCCCTCTTTGTCAGATCCATCCACAACCCTCTCCTGCAGACAGCAGTGACACTGGAATTTTACATAATGGAAATCTGGGCTTATCCCTACTTGATATAACATTTCCAAGTATTCTTCTGAAGTCACACTGTTATGTTAATGTCAGGGCATCACGTTGACATAATGAAGGAAGCAAGATTCAATGGAAAATTAATATTAGCTGATGACTTACTAGATCCCACATGATGTAACCTGTTATTTTCAGAATTTTTTTCTTCAACTTACGAAAGTGATACTCTCAGACAAGAACCATCACTTCCTTTCTAAAGATGGGGAGATAGGTTCAGAAAGCAAAATACATGCTCAAGCATTTCTAGGATGGCATCAAATGGGCACTGAGGCCACCCTGAAGGGGCTTTCACTTTCTGAGACCATTTGAGTATCAACATGTATACTGACACTAACAGAAGGTAACCCTTTGTGGAAAATTTCAGTCAGAGTTGTACTAACATAAATAAATAATCATATTTACAAATAAATAAAGGAGAAAGGAAAGCTCTACCCTACATTCAAATGCCAACTAATAATTTGACAATGTTTACCAGAATTGGAAAAGAAGCACTTTACAACTATCATGGTAGTAAGTGATTCAGGAAAGAAACATAAATGGATGCTCAGACTGCACCAAATCCCACAGTAGTCATGTGTCACCATGGTAACAATGGCCAAGGAAATTGGGTAAAATCAAACAGCCACCATGATTTGTTTTGTATTATGTGCTATGAACTAAATCAGATTGATGTGACCACTGTAATTAAGTTCAAGTATTCCCAATAATAAATATTTCTGACAGCTTCAGTGATAACAGAAACCTATACATATGTACTTATACATATTTTCAAATATCTAATTTTTTCTCTATCTCACCACTCAAGATCCCCAGAATTAATCAAAGTTGATTACAGTGGTTGATAAAGAAAAATTCAGTGATTCAACAGATTCAATTCTAACCACATACAAGGATGTGGAGGTAAAAGGTACCCTAATACACAGATGGCAGGGATGTAAACTAGTATAACCATTATGGAAGACAGTATGGGGATTCCTCAGAAATCTGGGACTGGTGCTATGGCATAGTAGGCTAAGCCTCTGCCCACAGTGCTGGCATCCAATATGGGTTCCAGTTTGTGTCCCGGCTGTTCCTCTTCTGATCCAGCTCTCTGCTAATAGCCTGGGAAAACAGTGGAAGATGGCCCAAGTGTGCCCCTGCACTCAGAAATCTGAAAACAGATCTACAATATGACCCAGCCATCCCACTCCTGGGAATTTACTCAAAGGAAATAAAATCAGCATATGAAAGAATTATTTGTACCCCCATTTTTTTGACAGACAGAGTGGACAGTGAGAGACAGAGAGAAAGGTCTTCCTTTTCCGTTGGTTCATCCCCCAATGGCTGCTGCGGCCAGTGTACCTCGCTGATCCGAAGCCAGGAACCAAGTGCTTCTCCTGGTCTCCCATGCAGGTGCAGGGCCCAAGCACTTGGGCCATCCTCCACTGCACTCCCGTGCCACAGCAGAGAGCTGGACAGGAAGAGGAGCAACCAGGACAGAATCCGGCGCCCCGACCAGGACTAGAACCCACTGTGCTGGCACAGCAGGCGCAGGATTAGCCTAGTGAGCCGCGGCGCCAGCCACCCCCATGATTTTTGAAGCTCAATTAACAATAGCTAAGATGTGGAATCAATTCAGATGTCCATCAGTTGATGACTGGAAAAAGAAAATGTGGTATATATGTACACTATGGAATGCTACTCAGCCATAAAGTAAGAATGAAATGCTGTCTTTTGCAACAAAATGGATGCAACTGGAAACCACAATGCTTAATGAAATCAGCCAATCCCAAAATGACAAATATTGTTTTCTCTGATGCTAAATATAGAATACCAAAAAATGTATAGGAATGAAATGGCCATCTGTGATATGATTGTTATTTTTACCCCTTGTTTATACTCCTGTAGAACTGTGGTCTTCTGACTTTTTGCTTGTTGAATAGTATGGTTAGTGGTGAATTAAGCCTGTGATTACACAGTGGACTGAAATTATGTCTTTGCAAAAATCAAAGAAAAGAAAGAATGGAAGGAAGGGGGGGATTGATAGTGGAATAGGGGGAAGGAGGGAAGTATGGTTATCTTCTTAGAACTGTACCTATGAAATACATGAAATCTGTTGTCTTTGTATTAATAAAAATTTTAAAAAGAAAAGAGACAAACAGATATTGCTGGATATCCTAGTCAGAGCAGTCAGGCAAGAAAAAGAAATAATAGGCATCCAAATAGGAAATCAAGAAGGAAAATTACATGTTTGCTTATGACATGATTTTGTGAATTAAAAAAAAAACATGGAGACTCAACCAAAAAACCTGTTAGATTATAAATATAGTAACGTTGTAGATATACAACCAGCATATAAAATCAGCAGTGTATCTATACATTAACAATGAACTATTCAGACAAGAAGTCAAAATAACAAGTCCATTCACAACCACAAAAATACTAGAAAATAAATTTAATCAAGGAGGTCTCTACATGAAAACGTATAAAAAACCGATGAACAGAATTAGCGAAGACACAAATGGGAAGATATCCTTTGCCCATGGATTGGAAGGATTAATATTGGTAAAATGTGCCTAATACCGAAAAAGCACTACAAATTCAATGTAAGCTCTGCCAATATTCCATTGACGTTTTTTACATAAATAGAAAAACAACCATGTAAACAATCATTTGGAATCACAAAAAAACCTCAAATATCCCAAACAATCTTGAGCAAAATGAACAAAACTGGAACATCACACTACCTGACTTCAAAATAAACTATAAATCTATAGTAATCAAAACAGCACCTTACTGGCATAGAAACAGACACATAAATCAATAGAACAGAACAGAGAGGCCAGAAATACATTCATGTATTTACAGCTGAGTGATTTTCAGCAGCAGTGTGCCAAGAACATACAATGGGGCAAAGAACAGTCTCTTCCATGAATGATGCTGGGAAAACTGTATATCCACACAGAGAGCAATTAAGTTAGATCCACTTTTTTATAGCATATACAAACATCTTCACAAAATAGAATAAAGCCTTAAACATGAAGACCTGGAACTATAACAATACTAAAATAAAAAGTAGAGATGAAGATCTATAACAATGGACTGGGAAGGATTTTTTGAATACGAGTCCAAAAGCACAGGGAAAATTAAAAAAATGGGATTATATCAAACTAAAAAAATTTCTGCAAAGAAAAAAATCAACAAAGTGAAGAAACAGTATACAGAACAGGATAAAATATTTACTAACCATATAACTGAAAAAGAATTAATATCCAAAATATGGGAAAAACCCACTCAACTAAATAGCAGGAAAATAAATAACCCAATTTAAAAGTGGGAAAAATGGGGCAGGTATTTGGCTTAACATTAAGACTCAAACCAGCACTCTGATATGGGATGCTGCACTGAGGTGGTGGTTTTCCCCACTGTGCTACAATTTCAGCCCCACCACAGCTTGTTTAATCCATCTGTTCACCATATGATGAATATTTGGATTGGTTCCATTTGGGGATTATTATATTAAGGCTGCTATGAATATTCACATACAATTTTTAATGGAAATTTCCTTCTATTTCTCTTGTGCAAATATCTAGAATAGGAATGGCTGGATCATATAATAGGTATACATTTAACTTTGTTTTAAAAATTGCTAAACTGTTTTTCCAAAGTAGTTGTATAATTTTATATTCATACAAGCAGTGTATGAGGATTCTAGTTTCTCAGCATCCTCAGAAATATTTGATGTGAACATTTTTATATACTAGTGTCTCATTGTGGTCTTAACTTGCATTTCTCTAATGAATATGTTGAATATGTTTATGTAATTTTTTATCATCTATATATTTTCTTGATGAAGTGTCTGGTCAGATAATCAGCCAATTTTTGAGACATGGGTTATTACTGGGTTTTAGGAGTTATTTAAATATTTAGATATAAATTGTGTATGTATGTATACACAAATAAAATATAACATTCAGAAGATAAAAATGATTTATTTAGTTGAAAGGCAGAAAGAGAGAGAGAGAAAGAGAGAGAAAGAAAGTATCTTGCATCCACTGGTTCATTCCCCAAAATGGCTGCAATGGTCAGGGCTGGACCAAGCTGAAGCCTGGGCCTGGAACTCCATCCAAGTGTCCCATTTGGTTGGCAGGAGTCCAAGCACTTGGGCCACCTTCTGCTGCTTTCTCAGCACATTAGTAGGGAACTGGATCAGGAGCAGGACAGTGGAACTCAAATCAGTGCTCATATGGCATGCCAGCACGCCAGGTGTGGCTTAAACTGCTGTATCACAATGCTAGTCTCCATCCACAGCTTTGATACTGTTGTGTGGGTTCCATAATGAAACTCTCAGCTCCAAACAACAAATGTTATCCATATGTATGGTTTCCAACATGTTTATACACTAGAAATTTTGTTCTAACATTTCTTTATTGCATTAAAAAAAAGAGAGAAACTGGGGCTGGCACTGTGGCATAGCAGGTTGGATAGCCCCCTGCGACAACAGAATCTCATGTGGGTGACGGTTCAAATGTTGGCTACTCCACTTCCAATCCAGTTCCCTACTGGTGAGCCTGGAAAAGCATTGGGGGATGGCTCAAGAACTTGGGCCCCTGCACCCATGTGGGAGACTGGGATCAAGTTCCTGGTGTGGGGAGCAACTCGGACTAGACTAGTTACTGGAATTAAGACTTATTCTATGCATCTGCTCTCCTACAATATGGCGCTGGGAGAGGAGTAAACAACTTCTACACAGCTGCCTCTCGCCAATTTGACTGATGAGCTGCAGGAGCTGATCTTGCTCCTGATTGGAGGAGAGCAGCGTGCTCGGCATGTGGGTAGCAGAGTTGGGATTGGTGGAAGAGGACTATAAAGGAGGAGAGAGACAACATGCACCAGGAACATCCGGATAACATCTGAGCAGCCCCCGAGAGAGCTGGCCAGCGGTGTGCCGCTCCCCCGCGGAAGTGGGGAAAGTGGCAGGGGGAGCCGCCCCTCCACGGAGGTGGAGGGATCGGCAGCCAACCCGGGAAGGACCAGCAGCAAACCCGGGAAGGGCCGAGCAGACAAAAGAACAGCGCAGGGTTTAGTGTTGTTCCTCCACGAAGAGGGGGAGCGACACCTGGTTCCTGGCTTTGGCTTGGCCCAGCCCTGGACTTAACAGCAATTTGGCAAGGTGAATCAGGGGATGGAAGATATTCTCTCTCTCTCTCAAATAAGTAAATAAATAAACCTTTAAAAAAGAGAGAAACTAACACCACAATAATGTAGAAGGTATGTCAAAGGTACACAAGAGTCAACCAAAAGAGCTCCCCAGGGACAAAGCTGGAACAATTTTATTAACAAAATAAAGTAGTATTGCATTATAATCCAAGTATAAATGAATGTCTATGAGTCAATACTGACAAAAATAAATGACCAAATAAACAAATGAGGATGAACAGACAAATATCCCATACAGAGGAATTTCAAGGAGGTGAAGAATAACACCTCACTCCTTAAACGTGGACTATATGTAGTGATGTTTTCCCAAAGAGTGGATTGTGGAAAAGGAAGGTTGGGAGTTACTTTAGAGAAGCCTAACAAACACTTCAAGATCAACACAAACAGTGATAATTCACATTAATATATGGCTAACTCATAATCATGCCTAATGAGGGGAAAAACATCATGCAAATTTAACTGATGGGCAATCAACAAAAGTTCTGGCAAGTACCTCTCAGAACTATCTAGGCCATTTAAATTAATGAAAGTCTAAGAAACTGTCATTGCCAAGAGCCTAGAGATGTGACGACCATAATACGGCAGTCTCTTGGAGAACTGGGAAAAGGATATTAGACAAAAACTAATAAAGTCTGAATAAAGTACAGATTTCGTTCATAATAATGAACACATACAGGTTCATTGTGATAAAGGCACCATACTAATGCAACATGGTAGTAACAGGAGAAAATGACTGTGAGGTACACAGAAACACTGAACTGGGGCCAGAGCTGTGGCATACCGGGTAAAGCCACTGCCTGCAGTGCCAGCATCCTATGAGGGCACTAGTTAGAGTCCTGGCTGCTCCGCTTCCAATCCAGCTCTGTGCTATGGCCTGGGAAAGCAGTGGAAGATGGCCCAACTCCTGGCTCCTGGCTTCGGATCAGCACAGCTCCGGTCATTGCGGCCATCTGGGGAGTGAACCAGCAGATGGAAGACTTTCTCTCTCTCTCTGCCTTTGTGTAACTCTGCCTTTTAAATAAATAAATCTTAAAAGGAAAAATAAATTTCTAAAAGGAAAGATGTAACAAAAAACTTCTCTTTGAAAAGCATTTTAATAAAGATAACCCACACACTAGTAGAAAATATTTGCAAAACATGTATCTGATAATGGGCTTGTATCTACTGTCTATATTTTTAAAACCTTGAAACTCAACAAGTACTTGCAGCTGCCTCTAGGACATAGCTGCTCTCTGACGCCAGCACCTTTTCAAGGTCACTGAGCTCCAGCCAAAGAATGGGGTAAGTAAAGAGGTCTTTATAACCTGACTCTCACAAGCAAATTGCCCACAAATCCATCCACAATAAAGCACGGGGCTACTAAAGCCAATGGCCAGGGTGTGCCCTCCACTTATGTAGAATACTAGAGGGGTGAAGAAACCTTGATACAAGTCTGCTACTGCCACACTTCATGAAATTAGACTGAATTTCTGATTCACAAACTCCCCGTCTAGTGTGTATTTTGAGAAACTGCTCAGAACATTAAAGCAGATTGGTGCTTCTAAAGCACAGCTGTTGGTATTTTGCAGGAGGTAAGTGAGATTTATCTGGCTTTTGGGAGGACCCCAACGTGGGTCCTATTCATGAAAAACATGTTAAAAATTATGCCAAAAGACATCAGCTAGCATGCTACATACACAGAGAACATACTTAAAAATCTACAATGTCAAGAATCATTTCATTCTCAAAACAACTTTTTCTCTTCCTCCGGTTATTGGAAGTTCTGAACTTTCTTTTTCCCATGGCACCAAAGGGTGCCTAAAATATATGATTGTGAGTGAAAAAATAGGTGACAGAAATCAGTTACTGGCAGTGTACCATTTTCATTAGTGTGTGGAATTTTTAATGTATATGTGGGGATATAAAGCATTAATCCAAGTCAAAATGTTTCCGTGAACAAGTTTGAGCAGTTCAGTATTAAATCAATCTTCTAAAATTGTATGGCCAATGCCAGTATTTGTATTAAGACGAATTTGTTGATTGTAACTCCAAAAAACAACACAAATCAACAATCTAATTTTAAAAGAAATGGGTAGAAGGTTCACATATACTTCACCCAAAATATATGAGTGGTAAATATGCATATAAAAATGCAAACTAGAACCACAATGACATTTTGATAAAACTAAACAGACATACTATGGGTTAGCAAGGATATGGGGAAATCATACATGTCATTCACTAATGTGGGAGTATAAAATGGTACAACCACTTCGGAAAATGTAAAAGTCAAATGTATACCTATGATATGACCCAGTCATCCTACTCATAGGTATTTATCCAAGAGGAATGAAAACATATGTCCATAGAAATACTTGTACACAAATGTTTACAGCAGCTTTATTTGTAACAGCCCAAATCTGAACAACTCAAATGTCCAACAACTGGTGAAAGGATAAATAAACTATGGAAAAATCATACAGTAGAATACTGCTTTTCAATAAAAAGCAATGGACTACTGAGACACATAACATGGATGAACATCACATAATCATGAATGAACTATGTAAGATCCCTGCCCCAAAGAGTACATATTATATCACTCTATTTATACACATTTACAGAAAATACCAATGACTGTGTGGATTCTTTTATGTTGTCAGAGACTATCACTGGGGGTAGGGGAACACAAAGAGAGGTAGAAGGGAAGGATTACAAAGAGACATTCAGAAACTTTTCAGAGTGATAGATATGTCCACTATTTTGATTGTGTTTATAGTTTCATGAGTGTACATGTCAAAACTTATCAAACTGTACATTTTAAGCAGTTTAATATATGTTAATAAATACATGTATGTCAATAAATATCAATCAAGCTATTAAATAAAAAGCACATGGTAGATCTGTATAATACTAAATTGGACAGATAACTTACAAGAGAAAGGCAAGCTGCAGAATTCTATACTCCTATTTTTGTAAAAGAATAAATTTGTACATATATATTAAGAGAATATGCTATGAAACATTACAACACTGTATACCAACTATTAATATTACAAAAAGCATTGAGTAAAATATATGTTTGAAAAGCATATCTACGGACATGGAAAGATTTCCAAAATATACAGTTAGAGGGTGAAGCAAGCTACAAACAGTACTTACAGATTATTTTGTTTTAGTTTAACTGTCTGAAAATCTCAAAGCATATGACTTGATATTTGCACAGAGACTTTAGGTTAGACCAGGGATTGCAATTCCTAACAGGAATTTTAGAAAACTCAGCCATAACCCAATGGTCTTAGGAATATTTTCTGGACTACAAAGGCATTCAGGAATCACTACATTGGAGGTTACGAGAACAGCCTCCCTCTCAGTTTTCCTATTCAGTTGTTGAAGCTACAGCTCATTCTATATAGTTTTAGATGGTACAAGTGCAGAAACTGGGTTTGCCTACTTGTAAAATATGGAGCCTTTTGGCCTTTCTTATGACACACAGAAGAGTAAATTACAAATAGTAAAAGAAAATGGAGTGGGGGGGCCGGTGCTGTGGCATAGCAGGTAAAGCCACTGCCTGCAGTGCTGGCATCCCCTATGGGTGCCAGTTTATGTCCTGGCTGCTCCACTTCTGATCCAGCTCTCTGTTATGGCCTGGGAAAGCAGTAGAAGATGACCCAAGTCCTTGGGCCCCTGCATCCACATGGGAGACTGGGAAGAGGCTCCTGGCTTTGGATCAGTGCAGCTTCAGCTGTTGTAGCCATCTGCGGAGTGAACCAGTGGATGGAAGACCTCTCTCTCTGCCTCTACCTCTCTGTAATTCTGCCTTTCAAATAAATAAATAAATCTTAAAAAAAGGAAAATGGAGGTATAATTTTACATGGGAGAAGAAAGCAATTACATTTGAAAATGCAGGGCATAAAACACTGTACAGAATGATTCCAGCTGTTTGAAAAAATGTAAATATGGACAGAAAAAGATAAAGATATATTGCAAGTTTCACTTGCTGATGACTCTAAAACTATATCTCATTAATTCAGTACAGTTTTTAACACCTACCACGTCCCAGATACTGCCAGGTAAAGTCCATACATTCATCTCAGACTTTTCTCCTGACATTCAGATAGGTAGAGATAGAGGCCTAATGGATAAGACTATTTGGAGGTGGTTAACAACTACAAAACTTGGCAGGGACATTGTGCAATACAAAATTAACCACTAAGACCAAACAGTTTCTGAGCTTGGAAGGCAAATACCTAAAAAGTGAAGGACTGTAAAGCAGTAGGGTGAGATGGGTTTTGATGTCAGACAAAACACCTGTGCTAGCTGCCTGCTGTGGGAATCCAGGAAAAAGTATTTACTCTCTCCAATTCTCACTGGAGGGTACCCACAAAAATGAGTTTTAGTAAGAATACAACTACTTAGCTCACAGAATCACTGCAAGAGGAAAAAAAAACTTGTAAGTGCAACATAGTATCTGACAGTGTGGGTATTAAAGAAATATGTTCCTCCTACATCTGCCTCCCTTCTCTTCTGTCAGATGATTCTGCTATAAATGGAATAGCCTGACAATTTAAGCAAAATTGTAGCAGCAAAATAGAAAAATGAACATTTTGTTTGAGATTCAGGGCCATTTCTGCGTTGTAGAATGAAAATCTGGTGCAGCTGGAACAGGGAGAAAAGAGTTCCTCTTCAATGGACTATAATCCCTGTCTCCTCTATGTGTCTAGAGGGCACAAGTGGCAATGAGCAAATAGATACACATTCCAGGTAATGATAGTTATCTATTTGTGTGTATATGCTTTATTTCTGTAATTAGATAACAAATTCAAAGATAATTCCTTTTTTGACAATTGAGACCACAAATAGACCTGCATAGAAACTAATGAACAAGCTAGCTTACTCATGATGAACTGGTTCACAATCTTAAGTAAAATGTTATATATGTGCCAATCTAGACAAGACAAAAATCAACAAACATCTTCAGCTCAAGACATAACATTCATTTGACACACCAAAAATGGTCTAGCTCAAACCTAGAGCCTGACACAGGTAACATCATTTAAAGATGTAATGTATAATGTTCACACTGCAATGACCAAAACATTATACACGGCTCTTCAGGGATGCACAGTGTGACAGAGTTAGGAGATGGTTCCAAGTGTTCTCTTTCTGGCTGATTTTACATTGCCTCAATAATCCCTTTAACTTCACGGAAAATGTCTGTCAGTGTATTATAGCTCAAGTGATCAACAACTACAATTGAGCCCTTTCTGATATGCTCCTTTATGTTAATAAATATGGCCACAGCAGTAACAAGGTTGGCTTTTGCCTCATTCTGGTTAAAGATGAGTTTTAATGCTGTCAATGCCTTCATGTTGATCATGTCTCTGGCTGCAGATGGATTTTCAGACATATTCAAAAGCAATTTCAGAACAAGATTTCTGGTTTTACGATTTCCCTGGGAAAGTAAATTGAAGAGCTCTGAAAAGTAATTGGCAACAATATAGTGATGGACAGACTCAGTCGTCAGTTGCCCTAGTATCTTTAATCCAGATTGCTGCCCAGGTGAGTTCAATGGAAAAGATACGGTTTCCTTACACATATGCTTAACATGTAATTCAACCTTGTGTTGTCTTTCACCCCCAGAAGGAGGATTCAGAGTAATTACAGTCTTTTTTCTCATATCGGGGGAAGGAAAACTGAGCAAACTTTCAATAAGTGTCACTACACCCACCTCATTGATGAATTCTTGGGCAAATGGATGAACCTTATGGATGCCCATTGCAATTTGTGCTATTTTATGAATGAGAGGATCAGTAGTTGACTTCAGTATACTAACAAGTTTTTCAAATTCCTCAGAATTCATGTAGCATTCCATTTTACAAGGGCAAGCAAATGGCTTAATCCCATTTACCTCCCTGATCTTGATTTGGCGTCTAATTTCATCTAGGGTCTGGATGCAAGGGTCAGCTCCAAACGGGTACTCAGGGACAGGCTGTGAGTTTGAGCGAGCGCCCCTAGAAGAGCAAGCTGTTGTTGCAGGCAAAGAACGGGTATTTTCCTCAGCTGAGGCCAGAACAACATACGAAGAAGGCTTTGTCTCAGATGGGGCCTGAGATCGAAATCCCAGCACTGCTGGAGTTACAGCAGGGGCTTTAGGCCAGATAGTGACCTCGGACCAGTCCTTGGGCCTATTTTTTTCATTAATTTCATCCACAGGCTGGGGCCTAATTATCCTGCACACAGGTTTAGGATTAGGGTCAAAACTAGTATCATCTCCTTCCCAAAACCAGTTCCCGATAACAGTTTCTTCCTCCTCTTCCTCAGCCCCTGACCCAGGCTTGCAGCTGGGCCCAGACACAGCCTCCGACTCTTTAGCAGAGACCCGGGCCCTGACAGTAGTTTTCTTTTCATCCTTAGCCCTGGGACGATTACCTGCCTCTTCTCCATTACACACCCAGGTATTGATCCCAGCCTCTTTCCCAGCCCAGAAGCAGCTATCAGTACCAGCCTCATTTTTACCTGTGGATCTGCTAGTGTCACCCTTAGTCCTTGGACTACAATCTGCCACTGCTTTGGCTGGAGTCTTAGGCTCTGACATGGCTCCTTCCTTGATCTCAGCAACAGCCCTGTTCTTAGACATTGTCTTCACCTCAGCCAGTGGAACAGCCTTAGACCCTGCTTTGGCTTTGGCTTTGGCTCGGGTCTTAGCTACAGGCTTGCCCGCACCAGCAGCTTCCCTCTCTGTTCCAGCTTTAGCCTGTACACCTGTCTTTTTTTCAGTTTTTGCTTGGGCTCTCATCTTATTCTTATTCCCAGGCATGACTGAAGTCTTGGGTAGTCTTGGCCTCAGTTCTTAGTGTCTCTATTAGGTGCCTTAACACTCTTTGCTAGGTCAGGGAAAATTTGTGGTAGCAAGAGTTAGAGTTACTTGTCAGTTCAGCAGTCACACAAACTCTGTCAGCGATACAGAGGTCAGAGGCACAGTCAGGCTGGAAGCAGATGACAGCTTGTGGGTGCAGACTTGCTGAAGGTGATGATCTTCTGCCAATCCAAAGCCACTACAGCCACCACTGGAGATGGACCTGAGCTGGAAGAAAGAAATGGGCTTTGAGTCTCCTCCAACTGTATTTCTCTATGCAGACAGCACACAGACAAAGGAAAGAGAACAGAGATGGACTGTGTTGCTAGAAGTGGATTAGTAGAAAACTCTACTTCATTTCTACTCCTTGTACACACTCACACTAATACCCAGCAATGCCCTGCCCAAGTACTACTGTTTCTTTCTCTGGATCAAACAACAGGGATGCAAAGTAAGCTTGCTGAGTTAGAGAGGCTAAGAGGTGCCCAGACCCTCTGACCCATGCTGGTACACACGACTGGGCCCTATAGTTTATATATAGGCAGGCCTCATACCAACCTACAATGATCTAGTGCACTTTTCTCCTCCTTCCTTGCTTCTGGTGTTGAAAAACCCTGTAGCTGGCTCACAGACAGTCCTATTGGCAAAAACATAGGCAGGATGAGAATTTTGAGTATTTGATTGACAGATCTACACTCCAGTCTCTAAACCAAATACTTGCCTCACACTTTTATCCCTTTGGTCTTCCTCATGGCTCCCCTTCACATTTCCTACCCCAATATTTGTCAATTACCCTATAAACACAACCCTGGCCCCCCCACCCCCATGACCTGTGCACAAATATGATGGCAGAGATGTCTGGAAAGTTGAAACACAATGGTTCCAAGATGTTCCAAGATCTGGTCTCCACCAGTTGCCAACAGCCATACCCCCCCATCCCAATCAACAGGGATGGCTCACATTCATACCCACCTTGGACCCACCTTGTTCTTTCTCAATTGATTTTCATGTGAACATATACCTACAGATTCCTATAGGAACCTAGAAAGGAACCTGGGTAGACAATAAGGCAGAAGAAAGAAAACAACAGAGACTGAGATGGCCCAATATCCAAAGGGTTGTAGCATATGCTTTTGTATACTCAATGCCATGTTACATGTTTCCCACTTGTCTGTGCCTCCCCAGTAGTTGCCCAGGCATCTCCCAAGACCTGCGGCCTGATTTTTCTTTAGAATTATTTTATTCATTTTAAAGACAGAGTTACTGAGAGAGGAAGAGAGACAGAGAGAGAGAGAGAGAGAGAGAGAAAGAGAGATTGAGATTGAGATCTTCCATCCACTGGTTCATTCCCCAGATGACTGCAACAGCCAAAGCTGAGCCAAACTGAAGCCAGGAGCCAGCAGCTTCTTTCAGGTCTCCCATGCGGGTGCAGGGGCCCGAGGACTTGGGCCATCTTCTACTGCTTTCCCAGGCCATAGCAGAGCTGGATTGGAAGAGGAGCAGCCAGGACATGAACCAGAGCCTATATGGGACACTGGCGCTGCAGACTGGGCTTTAACCCACTGTGCCACAGTGCCAGCCCCACAGCCTGTCTGATTGTAACTCCTCCCAAGTTTGAAGTCAGTCATTATCGTAGTAGAAGGCCAACCACTCTGCCTGAGCAGAAAGCAAGATGCAAGAATAGGTAGTAGATCCTGGACACTGTATTTAAAAGCGAGACAGGGAAGATATGAGCACTGTTCTTTCAACACCATCTTTCCATGCCTCTTCCCCTTACATACCTGGATCATAAACCATTCACCCTGTGTGTCAGCCTCCTATACAGAAGTCCTCAGGAGATGCTCTCCTTTCTGGCAAAGAAGAGTCTTTTGAAGAACCACACCTTATGAAAGAAGGAAGGATATTCAGCAAACACCAGGGGAATATGTTGACAACAGTAGAAAATGTGAGGTTCATGGGCAAATGCCCAGAATGGGGGTTCTAACACCTTCTTCTTAAGAATCAGGAACTATGTAAATAAAGTCTAACAAGTCTTATAGCTCCTCAGAAATATCAGCAGAAATATCCCCAAATCTGTGGGATTGTCTCTAAAGCGACAGGGGCTGCAAGGAGTGGGTGTAGATGGAGTTTCTTGCAGAACCAGAACTTAAGAAGCAGATTGACTCCAAATGTCCTGAAATGAGCCTGTAGGAAGACTTTTTTCCTCTACTCTGAACCTCCATTCCCATACATCAACATACTACTTAAAATAGACCTGGGTGTTTAAAAAAATAGATCCTAAAAAAGAATGGTAGATAAATATCACACTATTTACAAGGGCCCATGCTATGAAATTCGACCAACTCTTCATCATGCCCATTTGCCTGGGCTAAATTGGGTGTAAGGATCTACATATGAAAGAGAACAAAACAGTGTTTGATTAAAGGCAGCTGAACAATTCATTTTGGTGTCTTCACAGCCCAGCCGCTTCCAGTTTTAAAACGACATGCCAGACCTACTGTGCAATCAAGATACGTTGACATCAACCTCAGCCTGTTGGAAGAGACAGCACTCAGGACTCGGGACAATCAGGGCCAGAGTGCCAAAGGAAAACTAACTCCAACTGGCTGCCACTGGGCTCAGACACCTGTTTGAGGCCCCGCCCCCCAGCTCCCACGCCGCCATTTCTCCCGCAGCTGCCACCCCACTGCCTTCTTCGGGCACAGGCACCGCTGAGGGCAAGGCGGGGGTTCTGGAAACCTGGCTGGCAAGGAGTACGCGCGATCTGCCTCCAGACAATGTGCGCGTGCCTCTCTGACCACCCACTCCACCCTTGGCAGGCCGGACCAGCTCCAGTCGCCGCCTCCTTGCCAGGCTGCCCGGGTGCGGGGCCAGGCTGTCAACCGGCCGGCGGCGGTGGGGGGAAGAAGACCCGAACCCCCCACCTTCCCCACTTGCCTTCACTGGCTCAGGGCCCCGGTCTCCAGCCTTCCCCTCCTCGCTTCTCCTCTCTCTCTCTCTCTCTCTCGGATTCCCAGCGCTTTCCCTGCGACCAGAACGGCCAAGCCGCGTCCCGCCCCCCGCGCCTCTGCACCAAACCCGTCAGGGGCTGCGCAGGATGCGGCAGGAACCGCTCGCCGCGAGGGTGTCGGGAAGGGGGCGGAGGGATATGGCGCCAGCGCCTCGACGCCCCCTCCCAGGCCCACCCTCGTTCCCACCCTGAGCTGGCGGGCCCGCACGACCGCCAGCCCAGGCCGGGGCGCTAGCGTGGGGCGCCTCCGGGACGCCTCTCAGGCTCACTGAGCC